TGGAGCTCTGGGCTTTGTGATTTTCTCAACCCTAACCCTAAGCGGAGCAGGAAAAGCAGCTTGTTGCTGAGGCTTTGTTGCCAGGCACATGTGTAGCACTGAGCAGAAAGGTTTGGATGGAACAATCCTGGGGCAGTGCCGTGCCCCCCTTGGCAGGCCTTTTGTTCTTGCAGTGTCCCTGCAGCAGTATATGGCTTTTATTGTTGCATCCATCCCTGTGTATGTTATTTAAGAAAACTGAATCCAGGAGTTGTAACCTCCTATATTCTCAGGAGGTCTGAAAAAGCTAGAACTGATTCAAGTCAGTAATTCTTTACTGATACCTGAATTTCTTCCAAGTCATTGTAATATTTCTGGTTTTCTATATTTAATATATTACTAATAATAAAGAATGAGTCTTTGTCCTCAGTATCTTCATTGGTTCCAGCGACACTGTTTTAGTCACATGGGTCAACAAACTTAGTCTTAATTTTCTGGAGTGTGATTTGATGAGGACATATCACTGGAAATCACTAGTTGTTTTAATAAAACTAAAGGAAGCAGTTTTATTTATATAAAAACATAAATGCAGTAACCAGGACATATCTGAAGGAAAGGCAAAGGCCTTTAGAAAGGCACCAGAACTACAAGTTCAAATTTGTCTTAATAGCAATTGTATGTGGCAATAAGTTACAGAAAGTAACAGTTAAATGAGAAATACAGTTATTTTAAAGATGATGCAATAAAGTGTTTTGGGAAAGAAGTGTTTTGGTCTGTCTTTATAAATTGCAAATTTAAATGTGTTCATTTACAAGCCCCAGAAATCATCAGAGGGACACTGAATTTGTTATACTAAACCCACCATTAACCCAGCTGATCATGCAACACCCAGCTTGGCAGAAGTTCTGGTCAGCCGCTTGGTAATCAATGGCTCCAGGTGGTCTGGGAATAACAGGATGAATGTTACTTTGTTACTAACCCTAGATGTCAAAATGTTATTTTTTGTGGTGATATATTGCTTATTGACTGCTTATTGAATGTGATCACATTATAAAAGTCAACATTTTTTAAATAAGGGATGTGCTTTTTTCATAAAACAATATTTGAGTATTAGAGCACATATAAGTGATGGTGATTTGAAATTTCACTCCAGGCAATTTAAACCGAATTGCATTTGTAGAAAGGAACTAAATTTTACCCCAAAATAGCCTATGATCTAATAGAAAGTCATTCTAAGTTATAGCTCATCCTGCATTTTTCACCACCACCCTCCATCTGTGCATTACTGGTGTTATGAATTTGGCAACACTTCAGCAGCAAGCTGTTTATAACAAGAGATCCCAGCAGCTAAAAGAAGCCAGTCGTTGGGATTACTCATAACTTGCCTTGTGAACTGCTCAAGGGAATTTCTTGAAGAACTGTGTCAAAATCAGCTTTAGAAATCATTAATTTGAGAGCTTTCACTGATACATAAGAAGTGTTCCGAAATTGTTGTTGGTCAAGTTGGTGGGCTTGGAAGGAAGATTCTTTTTGTTGGTGCTGAGAAAATTTTCTCATTTTGTGCAAGGAAACAAGAGGATCCTAAAGGCTTTTTTCCTCTCTGCAAGAAGAAATCTGACGCAGTGGGAATTCAATCACCCAGACACTATGAATGCTTGCAGAAGGTAAGCTGCATATACTGCATTCCTCTCAGGTAAGAATAGAAAAGCAAATTATTGGCAAAATATTCCTCTTGTGGTCTTCACATGATGCTCCCAAATGATCATGAACTGTGTTATTTTATTTGCAGCTACACATGATTGTCCTGATACAAATGTTAAATGTCTGATTATGCAATTACCTTCTGTAAAAGCTCAACGACAGAATTTCCGTTTTTAGATGAATTCCTTTTTGGGGATTGCATTTCCTAGTCTTTCAGTTTTAACAAATCCGTTTTGACAGCTCTCTTCTAAGTGTGCCTAAGTATACAATTTGTGGTTTAAAGTTCTTTTTTACTCATAAGCCTATCTGTGCTAACATTTGTGGTAATCTCTACTCTTCTGTCATAGTAACAGCAGAAACACGTATGAACCAGACCTGCAATACATCTAATCCATCTCAGACCCCTTCCTAACAAACGTGAAAATCACAAGCTAGTTAATCTCCTTTTGGCATTCCAGTTCAGATGTAATTGCGTACATTAAACATTTCTTTTCTCTTAAAAATGAAGCAGCAGGAACAAGGGCACTGGGGCTTAGAAGGCAATTTTCAATGAAGATAGTAGCTGGAGGGCTGTTGCCATAGGTGAATGCTTCTAGTTTCAAACCCTTTGGGGAAGGTGACAAAGCAATATCAAACGTTACTGCAGAGAATACTGCAGATATTCTTTGCGTAGTTACTCCTGACTGGTACCTTTTAATGAATGCCTTGACACAAGTCCCCTCTGAAAAGCAGAGATAGAAAAATATGCCAGAACAGGATGGAAAGATCACATGCTGTGCTTATTCCTGTGGATTAAAGCTTTGGAAACAGGTAATTTTTTATTTGAACCCTGCCACTTTCATAATATTGCAAAATGAAAGGATTTGTTTTTTCTCATACAATGATCTGTGTCAATAGTGAGGAGTAAGAGCACTGTGTTTCCTCTAACAATCCCATACCCAGTCTCTGTGCCTGTCAGGAGGTGAGAAATACCAAGTGGCTGGTAAATGTTTTGCATTTCCAATTATAGAAATTATTTTATTAGCCCCAGACAGTTTGAAGAGCTCTTTCCCAAATCTAGTCAATGATTCAATGCACACTCTGAATTTCATTACAAACACTATTGAACTGTTAATAAAGAAGAATAGTTTTTAACCTTTATCTTTCTTTTTGTTATGTCAGGATACATTCTCTCCGTGCTCACAGACAGAAAACTAATGGAAACAAAAGTGAGAACTGGCACAGCACCTCTGGGTTTAAGCACCAGCATGAAGATGATCTTGTTACAGTCCACACCCTTTACACAGTGATCATCATGATCCTTCTAGTGGCACTCTGGGGAGCCTGGTCAAGAACGGATTCATCCTTATAGCAGCAATATGGCAACTTTCTTTGTCAAATATTTAAAGAAGTATTTGTTTCAATTATCTACACTCAAGAGGTACAAAAAAGTGGTCTCGGCATATTTCAGTTTACTTGAAACTGTTTAAAAGGTTGCTACTTGTGGAAGGGAATCTATGAAGCAATTTAACAAACCATGTACAGAACATAATTTTGTGAATAACAGACCTGTTTGACCTGTACACATTTATATTACCCTCAGCACGTATATGAAACTTTAAGCACGATATTGTAGAAAGAGGAGTTCAACTTCTGTTTTATTGGTCAATGTTTTGTACAATATTTTGTACCCCAGCTTTCCATTTGTGAACTTGTCAAGTCTCTACCTCTGCTAAGTTTGCTTGTCCCAATCCATAGTAAAATGTACACTGTAAGGAGGAAATAATTTGCCATGCCACAACAACATAGGAAGACATGATCAACAAACCCAGGTATTCTGCCAGGAAAGGAAGATCATTGAAAGTCAAATTCTCATCTCCATTGCTGAAGAGAGTTTATATGGGACTTGTATTCATTATTTTTAACTTATGGCAATGACTTTGTAAGCTCAGGAATAAAATTATTAAATAAGTTGCTTTTGTGAATCCTTTGTCACAGAACCAGCTGGCTCAGTCTTCATCTTGTATATATTTATCTGCAACCACCACTTGCTTTTCCATAATTCATTAACATCTCATGGCAGCACTAGCTTCTACATACACCAGCCCATCGCTGATGGGGCATTCCATACTCCCACATTTTCAGGGAAGTAACCTCACTCAGACAACCTGCAAGCCTTCTGAACATAGAGCTATCTGGCAGTTTCTGTTCCACTCTTTGTTAGTTGTCTACTCCTGATGAGCATACATTAGTGGGCTGGTAGCTCTGGGGGGCAGTGACGCTTGGAGTCCAGGCCTTGGGAGCCTAAACTCAGCTTAAACCCCAAATTTTATCACTGCCTATGCTAATACACAGTATCCCAATAAAAAAACCAAACAAACGTCACCCTGCAAGATATGTAGACATCTTAGAGACTCATAGGTACACATTTGTAATTAGGTAGTACTTGCGGACAACACAATTCTTACAAGTATTGTGTACCCCATTTTGGTATCCATCCATGATCAGGAGGGGTATATAAACTGAAATGTCTCTGAGAAGAGCTCCAGGAGTGTTACCAAAGGTCAGGGTAGCACCAGAGACACCGGTGTCAGCTCTCAATAGGCGTTGAGGTGGCTGTAATTGGAGCTCCTCCATTGACACTGCATTCTGCCAGCCTTACCCCACCGGGCAGACACCACCTCAGCATGCTTTAACATGGGAGCAGTGCTTTGATGATGCTCCCTAGAGAACAGCACACAAAGGAATACTTAAGAAAACAGATGATTAGCACATTAAATAATTGTCACAGAACATAGGGACCCACATATAAAACATGTAGCGTGAACATTACAAGTGAACACAAAACGATGGGCCCTCCCTTTTCAATATACATTTGAAGTACACAAGATGGGAGAGGGACCTACACATTCTGACAGCAGCACAAAAACCCCCAGTGATTATGGCTGTGGGACAGGCAATGGCTTCAGTGTGCTGGAAGTCAAACACAAAATCTCAAATGCACCCCACCAAGGGAAAAAAAAAACCTAGAACAATTGACCACACAGCATGATGTAGCATTTAGTTGTTGTATTTATAAATTCTGCAGGCATAACCCTGCCTCTGAAGCACTGGAGGTCCAAACAAGGTATTGAAAATACCTTCAGTTTCCTCTTTCACTTTGTCAGAGAGCAGATGAAGTATCAAAGTTAGAAGAGACTGCTGCAGAACATTAAATGTTTTGAAAAACATGTTTTTTCTTAAATTTTTGCTTTCTTGGAAAACAGCCTTGGTTGATTTAACAGTAACATTAGAGATCTAAACTAAATAATTTTTAATGTGTTCAGAAAGACAACTGTATCTTTGCAGGGTGAACAAAATCTACTTTTATTATCAGTTTTTCTAAATAACTCATTTAACTTGGATAATGCAACCACATCTAGGGAAAATCTCTGGTCTTGCACAGCACAGTCTTCAATGCAAACAGACCCAAATCATCTGCCTGACTGAATGACACTTTGGAGACTTCAGCTCCCAAAATAATTTCCTGTAAATCCACTCATGAAAACACCTCATTCGGGTCTCACACTAAATCACAATTTAGCTTATGTCAACAGTAACAAGCTATTTAATGTCTCTACACCAATGAAGTAGATGGAAAAGTAGAAACTAAGAGCCCAGGTTTGGAACTTGTGTGTCAAAACTTTTATGCAACGATCATTTTATTACTATTTCTCCTGCATTAAGCAGGCCAGATAGATGTTTTACATGTGTTCAAAAAAGGCAGTGGTTTAAGTAAGCCTGTCTGCTGTTATTTTGAACTAACAAAAACATTGTAATTCAGCCAGTAAATCTTCTGATATATTCCATGTACCAACTGTCAGAACTGGAAAACAAGTCTATTTTCCATGGTCATTTTCACATGCTGATGTGACACACTTTTGTTTTTAAAGACTCAAGTCCTTCCAAGCTCCATTTTTTACTACTGCCTCACATTTCCCTTTAGAGAAGATGATGCATTCTGTAAAGCCATCTTTAAAGCAAAAAGTCAGCACAGCCATTTGTCCCTAATCCTTTGATAAATCTTGTAATTTCCTTAGTACTTCACACCTAAATTTGCTATCGGTCTGGTTGGTAAGAAATGGTCTGGATGGTATTTGTACTACTGTGTTTTAACTAAGGGAAGACTTAACTGAAATCAAAATACAAAACTGAAGCTGTACATTTCTGTATTAAACACAGAAAGACAAAAACACGTCTATATGTCAGTTCACTGGTCTGTTTACTGTACAGGACAACATTTCAACTCTAAGACTTACCTCTCCTTCAAAATGTATGTGTAAGAGTATGAGGCATTCTCTTCCAAAGATCTTTTAAGTGCACTAATCATAGTACCTCAGAAAACATCAGGGTAAAAAAAAAAAGCAGACAGCTGTAGTTTTATGCACATCCTATAAAAACAATACAGCATAAAAATAACAAGCACTATGGATTTCTACCCACTTAAGACAGTAGTTTTACTTAAACAGGACGCATACATGTGATTATATGATACACATTCACAGCTGTTGCACCTGGTGACTACTGGAAATCAACAGTCCTCCTAGTTCTCTTTCATGGCCTTTGCTAGCAGTGGTTGAAAAACCCAAGACAAGTTTCACGTCCTTTCAGAATGCTATGTATGCTCTATTGACAATTTAACTGGATACAACCTATGGTGCAAATTCTTCTGTGAATTCTGCACCTGTAACCAGGCTCTGTGCGTTCAGTATCACCATGCATGAATCAGTGTTAAGAAGTAAAAGCACTACTCCATAGCCTTTAAAGCCAGCAATGGATGACATCAGACTGTTAGGTGCTAACACCACCACAGCATTATCCACAGACTTTATTCTTCCTTGTACAAAGCTCTGATGTCCCTGCTCCACACTGCCACTGGCTGGCACAGCACCTCTGCCCCTTCCTGACCTCAAAGGGTGGGCAGCAACTCTATCCCAGTGGCACAAAGAGGGAGATGCTGCTGATTGTTTATGGAAAATGTCCTTCCTAGCCCATCAAAAATACTTGGGCTGTAAAGATGCCTTTTCTGGCAATAGTATTGTTAAAAGGATATCATCCATCTGGTTGCCAAACCAAAACAAATCAGAGCATGATAATAAAAATGATTTACAATGTTTAAACCCTCTCTGGGTCTACCAAAACATTTGACAAAAGTACAGATTTCCAAGCCTTTTGTTTAAGTTCAGCTTAAAGTACTGCCAATTCTCCCTTGTCAAGGAAAAGAACCGAAATGCCAATGGCAAATTCTACTTGGCATGCTCTCTGTGCTTAGAACACAGCTCAGGTTACCCTTGTGTCCAATCTTAAAGCTTGTGTTAAAGCTCAGATGTCATCAAACTACTCAGTACTACTTCACTTCCTCTGAAATTTATTTCCACATTTTCACAAAACATCTTTTGTTGACATTCTGCAAACAACGCTGTCCAATAAGGTGCCGATTTTTTCTTCCTGTGGAGTAACTTTGTACATCTGCAGAAAAAAGACAACAAAAACAGGAAAGATGTAAAAGGAAGAAAAAAACCTGATGACATACCTTCTAAAAATATGTACACAAGAAAAGATTATTCCCCTCTCCCCCACTTTTACATTGGAAATTCCTATTTTTTTGTGACTGCAAGACAAAATTTGGACTGAAGAAAATTCTGAAATTACAAGAACAAGGAAAGCTATGAAATGAATAAGCAGCACTTTTAGCTCCACATGTTAAATTCCATCATTTGTCCAGTTCTATTCATATGTCTCCTATCAGTACTGTGAAGACATGATAAAGATTTAAAGTTACTTGAATTTTATCATGTAGGAGATATAAACTTCAAAATAGCTGTTTAGCATTTAGTAATCTGTTAAGAGCATATATATCCCAAGACAGCTCCTAACAGCTAATTAACCTGTTTTTATTTTAACCACCCCTACTGGGACTATCTATGTACTTAAGCTTATGGAACTGCTCAGGACTGAAATTTTTAATTAAATGAGTATTTGCCTGAAAAACAAGAATCAAAAGTGCTTGGATGGTAGGCAGCAATTAGGGATTTATTTTTATGTTTGAATCCCTGACAACATTAATAATTAGAAGACTTAAAACTTAGTGATGTTTGTGTGACAACTAAAATTTGTTTCAACTAAAAAATTCTAAGAAATAATAAAGGTCCACTTAAAGCAAGTTTTCAGTTGTGCTAAAAAATTATAGATCCTAAGTTAATTATGTCTGTTGATATCTTATCAGACAACTAAATAAACTGTCCCTTTTCTCCACATCAGTCTTCTTTTTTGGCTACACACCTTTTTAACTTTGGCAGTGTCTGTTAGCTGGGGGAGTTCATCTAGGGAAACCTGCTGACCTTCCACCTGAGATGCTATATCTGCCAGATTGACAGTCTTGTCTCCTTCCACGACCAGCACAATGAGTACTGCCGTGTCGCTGTCCGAAACGCCAAACTTTTTAAATGCATCTGAAATCTGAAAAAAGATTAAAAAAATATTATGAGTCACTTTTTCACTGCATATAATGAACCTTTTCAGTTACTGTGTCAGATACACCAAGAGTATAAACTGATAGACATTTTAAGATTAACATAATTCTGACAAATTCCGTTCCAAAGCTACAAACCATAACAGCACATTAGTGTTATTTAAAACAACAATTAAAAACTTCTACTAGTAGCCAGGTACAGTGTTAAAGGAATACATGTACTTAATTTGGCTGTATGGATCTTAGCAAGCTTTTCTCGCAAATAAAGAAATTTGTTCAATAAATCTTACATTGTTGCTTGGTGAAAGGCTGAAAATAATTTCTGCATAGAGTGTTCTGGTCTTCATTTTACCTATCTTCTGTAGATGCACTGCTTTGTTGGCTGCCACAAGAATCTGAAAAGGATCTACAATCTGTAAAACACCACAGAAAGAGTTATACAGAATTAACTTACTGTTTTGAAATCTGAAAAAAAAGTCCAGACTGCTTCATTTCGATAGCCTAATTCTAACAAAAAAAAAGTTTCTGAAACTATTTATGGGTTAAATGATAACAAAGGCACCAAACAGTAGATTTTTGACAGCATGAATTAATTAGCACTAGCGTTTAGACGTGAAGCAGGTTTAAAGTCCACCAAGCACGAAGTGGAATTAATCAAAACAACGTGTTTGGCCAATCTCACCCAGGCTCTGTTTTACACAGAAGAAGCCTTCTGCTGTAGGACACAATAATGAAATCAAAGGAGGGCACTTGCACAGAGGCTGGAGGACGCGCAAAGGAACTCGTGTGACAGCGACTGGGAGCCCGGGTCAGCCTCCCTGCGCTGCCACGAGCATTTCCCCCCCGACAGGGCGCTCACCATCGCAGGGTTTATCAGTGCTCCGTCAATGGATCCTTCCATGGCTTTTTTCCGCAGAGCAGCGGCATTTTTCACGTGCTGGAAGAGGAGCAGCGTGACGCTGCGGTCAGGGAACAGCTCCAGCCGGTGCGTTCGCTCCATCCCGGCAGCGCCCGGCGGCCCCAGGGGATCGGCGGCACGGAGGCGCCGCAAGTCCCGTGGAAAACACGGCGCTAACAACACGGGGCCACTCAGACCGGGGGCTTCCCACAGGAATCGCCGCGCTTTCCACAGGAATCCCCGGGCTTCCCGACCCCGCAGCAGCCGCGGCCCCAGGGCCCGTCCCGCCGGCCGCCGCTCGCCCCTCCCCGGAAGGGCGGCCCCAGCGCGGCCGGCGCGGAGCCGGCATGG